CTTATCGGTGTTTATAGTATTTATCAAACTACACTACACACCCACATACACAAACACACACGCATATACAGGAAGAAAGTGATTACAAATGCAAAAATAACTTCTTAACTTATAGATCAATAAAGAGCTAAATTATAAAAAAATAAAAAAAATGAATAATATTCGCTTGAATAATTAAAAGAAATCAAACAGAAACCTGCAAGTGTGGGAGAAATTATTAGTATTAACTCCGGGTGTATACCAAGAACTCGAAATTAGAGTATAATACAACAAACAAACATGGCTCCGATATTTTCGATGCTATCCATCAAAACTGGAGGCGAAGCTGAGCAAAGTTGTACTGTCACCTGTATCGTGCTGAAGGTTCTTGCTGACGTCAGACGCAATCTTGTACTTCTTGCCCCGCTGAATTCGTGGGCCTTTTTCTGTTGTTATTGTCAAACAAGTGAGATAAGTCACAATAACAACAATAACAAACAGAAAGTCCGAAATTTTTAAATGTGTGTAGAATATTCAAAATCAGTGACAAAATCAAGAGGAAAAAGATCACTCTAATTAAATGCACTTTAGGTAACATTTTAATATGTAACGTGTATTATACTTTAAAATGACTATGATCAGATAATAGTTTAAAGTTCAGCAGCATGTAGATACAAATAAAATATAATTAACAATATTTGAAAAAAATAGTTTACATGCCTTGGAAAATTCAGATGCGAGGAATTATTCTAGAGGAAAATGCGCATGCATGTGTAATAACAAATCCCTCCACCGAAGTTTATAAATAGAAGAAAAAATCTGAACTATACATCAGAATCTCTGAAAATTTCTAAATAAAAGCAACCAAAAATTATTGATCAGAAGCTAAATAAAGGAATAGACTCGAAATAAGCAACTGAAGGTACAAATTTTAATATATGAATTATAATAACGTGCAAAAAAATCAAGTAAATTGAGATAACCTCAAAATACTGTGGTTTTGACAAAACTGGAAATAAAATCGTCAAAGTAACGCATAGTCAGCATTTCGCTTGCAAATTAACCTACCTTGAATCAAACTATGTATCGCAGCATAAATACAGAGGTTTCCTATTTTAAATGTGAATAAGGCAATTCGAAGCTGTTGTCATTTTATACGAATGACCTCGAGACAGACTTTCGTCGAATGAGCTGCAATGGATTATCATCGGTTGATCTTGAAAAGACCAATATGCACAAAGATTGGACAACTCGACCTCCTAATTTAAATCGAACTGAAAACGAGAGAGTTGCTCTGAGTAGACGGGTTACCATATCTAACACCAACAATATGACAGCTTTTACAGATTTAAAAGAAAAAAAAAACTATCCTTAACATCTGAAAATGGATCCTCTTGCTCTAAGAATAGCAACAGTCCTTTACTGAAATAGTTTTCCCATTGCATTTTGACCCTTGACTGCCAATAAAATTCTCGTACGTACTATTCTTCTGGTGAATTTGTGTAAAATAGCTTTTAAAAATTTTGAAAACTGTCTTATTATTTTGACCAGATGACGTAGAGTCATTTCACATAGTTTTCGTATCTAGAAATTTAGTGTTTTTCCTCTTTCTAAATTCCTACTATTAGCTCACGCTCTCCTTATATCTTGTTCAAATTTTCAATCGTTAATAAAATACTTTTTGTTCATTCACTCAAGTACGAATACATTTTTTAAACTTGTTGGGGATGACACTTTACGCTAATACATTTTTTTCACATATTAAACATTTTGAAAATTTTTAATTAAAAAATTTTTTGTACCTTTAAAATTTTTCTTTGTTGACCTAAGTAGGAATTGACTTTAATTTTTTTTTATTTAATTCATTCTTTATTAATTAATTTTCAATCTTTGATTAAATACTTTTTATTTATCCACTTAAGCTCAAATACATTTTTTAAACTTGTCGTGGATAACACTTGATGTTAATATAGATTAAATTCTATTTATAATTATGTACTGTTAAATTTAAAATATTTTGTATTAGTCATACCTGTCAGGAAGCAGTGGATGAAATTGAATTTGCGTTTATAAAGTCAACAAATCATAGCAATAAAAGTTTTCAGTTTTATCCTTACAAGTTCTAGTATGAGCATTCATTGTGAAGAATCAGAAAAAGGTAAGATTTGTGTAAGTAGATTCAATTCGAATCAAGCCGAATCTTTCAATGGAACTTTAACATAAAACGGACAAAACTAGATTTATAAAAAAAATTTAAACTGTTAGAGACGTTAGAAGGCAAACACTTTTATATTTTATATAACGCAAATGTAACAGCAAAGATGAAGATAAAACACGTCTTCACAACACTAACTATTGTGTCTATGCTATATTTTAAAAGTCGTAAAATATTTTATTATTATTGCGAGGTTAGATGTTTGAGGATGTGCCTAAACCGTTATGAAACTTCAGTTATTCAGCTTAAAGAGTTTATCATTCCAATAAATTTGTAGGGTCCACTTCCTCATCTTCTAAGTGACAATTGTACTTAGGGATAAAAAGAACTTTTCTAGGTCCTGATTGTACGTGTTAGTAACTACACAGAAGGGTTAAAAGTACCTTTCATTTAACTGTTTACAATTTAAAATGAGTCAACTCGATGCTAACACTCTACGCATCCCTTGGGCGATAACTGAAGTAACCAGAAACTAAACTAAAAATTCGCAGATATTCATAAGTAGTAGAAATTCACTACATGATTCAGATATTTCCTGTTTTTTAAACCACCGCCGAAATTAGTGGCAACAAAATAAATACTGCTATGCCACGTAAACCAGCAATAACTCCTGGAGTAAAAAATCACGCTACAGAGTTAACGGCAATAGCCTAACTCTCTCTAACTTTGATAATTTGATACTTTGTTGGTTATTCTGGCATACAGCGAGCGATACATTACTCCTGCTCCTTCCAGATTCCTGAATTCCTGGTGATAAAAATGAAACAGTTGTAGAAGAGCATTGCTTGCGAATTCCAAATTCTTGACTATTACGCCTTTAGCTACGTTGTGGGAAAGTTAATTGACTACGTGCTAATTCAAAATATATTGACCTCTGAGGTAACAAGCGAAAGATTAATGACGAAGAAGAAGATTCGACCAAGATCTTTCGGCATAAAGCGTCAGATACATTTGTCGAAATGGCCAAAAATGTCTAACCTATCTATATTAGAGAAATAGAAAATATTCATGTTCTGTAAAAGTATTTTTTTCCCGATCGAAAAAAGAGCGGAATCCATGAAGCAAATAGGCCACTAAATATATTCTTACTTTCAAAACAAGAACTAATTAAATGCAATTAAATAAATAAGTTTATTTATAATAGTAAATTTTACACATTAAATATGCTTGTAGAATTACTGTTTGTAGGCCTTTCGTTTCCTCAATGCATTAAGTATCGTGGAAAAAATCATTTTGCGGCGTTATGGGATTTTATTGCTATCTATACAGCATATTTAATAATCCAGCACCGTTAAAATCCTAAACATATTTGATTAACAGGCCTTTTTGTTGTTAAATGTAAGAAACCGGAAAGAGAACTTCCTGTTATTATTATAAAAAATAATTCTCTGAAATCCATCATATCAATAAAAGTGAAACGTAATTAAATATTAAAAATGTTTCATAATTTGATCAAAATTTACAAATGATGGCAAAAACAAAACAAAAAATTATTAAATTTGGACGTGATTATTTATAAAAATAATTCTGTAACAAAACTATGCGTATCCACAAGCATCAGTACATCATTATAATTCACTATCATTCATAATAAAATTATCACTACATTATCACAATCCATTAACATTTATAATAAAATTATCAGTTCATCATTATAATACACTAGCATTTATAATAAAATTATCAGTACATTATCACAATCCATTAACATTTGTAACAAAATTATCAGTTCATCATTATAATACACTAGCATTTATAATAAAATTATCAGTAAATCGTTGTAAACAAAGCGTAATGAAACTCCCCTAAGACATCATTCATGTTTGCGACAGATTTTGGTCTGCTGGGAAAATAATATCCTTAAAAATACGATTATCTGTGATGCTCAATATCGTTACCTAATTACATTCTCCGAAACACTGATCTGTTTCAGAGAATATAGTCTACGGCAGGCGATCGCTGCTTGATGTTACATTGTACTCCTATTATGAATATGTGAAATGCTAGTAACATATATAAGAAAATATTACACGTACACACAATTTTATGCCTTTATAGTTAAGTTATATGAAGTGATATTGAAGACCTCAGCACTGAGGTGAGATTATAAGATTAAAAAAGAAAAATCACACGCATAGAAACTGAAAAATTATCCGTTATTTTAAAACGTTATTATAATATTCATATACAAGCAATCAATATTCAGCAACTATTATAGCTCAAAGAGATATCTTTCATGTTAAACTTATTATTATTTATTTGATTTTAAATTTACCGCAATACCTGTTAATGTATCCTCAGTAAGGCGAACTCAGCTTACAAAATACTATCTTGTTAAGCACAAATGAAAAAAAAAAAAAAATCAACCAAAGTTTGGATGTAAAATTCTTTTGGATTTTTTTTAGAACAAGAGCAAATACAAAACATCACATCATGTACGAGTCTCGTATTTTCGTCACCGTAAGCAATCAATAGATTTGGCGCGAAATACAATTTAACCATGTCTGTAACTGAAAACGGAATATACCTATGAATATTTATTGTTCGAGAAAACAACTTAGATGGTGTTCTCGAAATTTCGCACTCTAAACGTGACTATCCATATGGCCTATGCCTAGAGCACAACTTGGATCACATAGTAGAGACAAACACTTAAAACATTTGATATATTGCAATGGTGAGTTATAGATTCGCTAGAGAAGATTGGTAAGAGTTACATTCTTCCTCTAATAGGCTGGTGGAAAACTGAAGATTTTACTATAGTACATTTAGAGAAATCTAAGACCATTTAAGGACTACTATTTACCTTATCGCCGCCATGTGTCTTGAATTTATCCAAAACAGCCGTATTCCGAGATGTCTCACATGCAATCAAAGACGGCAAACTGCGATCTTGTCACGACGAAGCGCTCTGCTAGAGAGGGATTTCTGAGCTTCGTATCAGAGCGACAGGGATTTTTCAAGGGATTTTGGGAATGCGGAAGCTCCAAATAAAGAAGATAAATAAAAGTTTCCGAATTCTTTAATAAATTAAATGATTGAACGTTATAGCGCAGAGATAGCTAACTTCTGTACAATGAACTAAAAAAAAAGAAGAAAAAAAGAGTCTACAGCACCGTTTTTAATAGGTCGATTGACGAATTTTAACTTGCGATTATTTCATGCCTCAGAGTGCCACATAGCATATATTGAATTTATGTATAGCACTGCTCTAACATGCGTATTTTTACACATAATCACACTTTTCGTTTTGGAATGCCATGGCGTTTTATTTCCCTACTTCGATTCCACGCCTCAAAAAATTATGCATTACAACCAAATTCTGTAAAAATTATACAAGCCATTTCGGAGATATTCACATTTAAAATTTGGAGCTAACTTTTAGACTGGTGCCCCAAAAAATCCTCCTTTTCAACATCCAATTTATGCTAATCTATTTTTAGCATAAAGGGGCAATTTGTCCGGAAGGGCTATTAATTTCGTTTTGGCATTTGCGTCGTCCACTATAAAACGGTGGTTTACTTTTCAAATTTTTGCCACCAAATATTAGAGCCCTGCATTACATTTATAGAAATCCAATAATGAAGGATCTGCACGAATGTAGATATGTTTGTCCTCTTGTGAAAAGACGACGGTACCTAGAGATAGCAAATTTTGAATAAGATAGTCCTTCACTGGAATACGGACATTTGGAAGCCCAAATTTGGATTCATATTGTGCAAAGCTATAACAAAATTTTGATTAAAAAATTCAATAATTACAAAGCGAGCAATGGCAACACTGTACGAAAAAAAAAACATTTTTATCTCCAGCGCGCAAGACTGTGTACTGGAAATTCTAAAGATATGCTCTTTTTAAATATCTTGTGACATTGCTGATGAACTGAATTTTATGGTTTAAATGATATTTAATAAATAAAGGTAGCACACAAAACGTTAAAAACGCCCCTTTGGGCATAATGTAAAATCTGAAAGATTTGATATTTTTTCTAAAATTTCTTCAATGAATTACCAGATGCTAAAAGCTTCGATACTCGGAGTACTAAAACTGTATTTTAAGCTCAAAAGTTTCATAATTTTACAAAAATACAAAGATTTTTTTCAAAGTTGCATATTTAAAAAAGAGGCACGATGTCAGAAAAATATTTAGATAATTTTTATAGAAAAGAAGCGATGCTAATAAAACTTGATTTAAGGATCTTCTGTCGAATCAAAGAATAAGAATTTAAATTTAATGTGCGTTTAAGTATCTGCTTAAAGCGTATAAGTGCACTTGGAAAAATATATCAATATGTGTGAATATTAAACAAATCCGAATCGCTACCATAACTCATGAAAGTTATTTTATAGTTATGTTTAGAATTTTGGTGAATTTATACTTATCTCTATATGTATGTAATATATAAAATTATGTATGTAATATTATGTATGTAATATATAAAATAATGGGAAAATTATATAATAACTTTTTCTGAACTGCATCGTTTCGAGATCAGTCATATCACGCTGGTGACGCAACCTTTACGTAACGCTGGTGACGTAAATGGGACTAACACAGCCAATAATAATTTTACAGCTTTATTAATTATCCAATCAAATGCATTGAAACTGAAACTAACCACTTCTTCTGGGGGACACAGGCACCAATACTATGCCAAGTCTTTGCGACAGCATACGTCAGAAGTGTCTCACTTGTGGCAAGTGCCTCATTTGCCTCACACTTGTCTGAACTCTACTCTGTTATATCTTTTTTTAAATTATTATTTCTTAATGACACTGAAATTTGCTCAAGCCTCACCGGAACTTCGTCGCAGAAATTGTTTAATATAATTTGTTATTAGCTACAATTTAAAGCATTTTTCAAGGAAACCATGTCAATGAAAACGCTGTGCTGTAACTTGCTACTGATTTATCAAGGTGATATCATTACATGAAAGTTTACACTTATCCCAATTTGCAGAAATTTTGCGGATCCCCTTTCCGTGAAGACACTTCCTCAACTATCTTTTGTAGCCACCTTCTGCAAGTACTTCAGCTGTTTCTTGCTGACGTCAATTTTGTGACCCTTCAATTCCTACACGCTTTCACTGTTAACTTGCAAGCCCAAGAATTCACCTAGACACCTAATATCAGATAACAAAAAATTCTCAGTGTCAAAGCCCTAAAAATCTTTTATCTTCAAAACACAATCTGTTCGTAATTTAATCCAAGCCGAATTCATGGCCTTTTAAGTCATTTGATTTTAGGATTTGTTAGTGAGAGTTAAATAACAGAAAATATTAAAAGGGCGTATCAAGATGTCCCTGGCTGTTAATTCTGTGTCGGGTGTTACCTCTAAATACTTTTACAAATAATTTATCGCTTTCATGAGTCTTCCTGACTTGAGATATCATTCGCCATTCGAGGCGTGTTTTGTTCTGGGCTAAAAACCAGCAAGAATTTGTTCCAGAAGGTTCTCCATCCGTCTATGGCATATCGCCAAATGGGCGATTTCTTGCCAAACCTGGCAACCATACCTTTCCTTGTGATTTTCTGGCAACCCTAAACCTGCTTTGCGGGGAAGCTATCTTACCGCGCCTGGACAATTCGTAACAATATTATTCATTAGTGTCTAGTGTTCACACTAGTGTGAACTTTGTTTTGTTAGGGCGCAGCCCGGTCCACCTTGCAAAACAAAGTTTGCCCTATGACCATATGCGGGTTACGCTTTGTTTAAAAATCATTTGTTATTTTTAACAGTATCGAAAAATGAAATCTGAGGAATTCGAAGAGATGAGAAATAAAATTTTAAAATGGCGCGGTAATGCACAAATATTCAGTAACCAATCAAGAAGAGGCTGATTACATCATGCATAGAATTAAAATTATTTAAATAATCATTTATAATAATCTATTTAAAAATGCAAGATTAATTTATTTTAATATTTACCAGCCATAATAATGTTAAAACATTAGATATTTATAGATATTAAAACCAATTACTTTAAAAATAACGTGACGTCATTCATTACATCATTCACAACATAAAATTCCATAAAATATCATAAACAATAAAATTTTTATTTAAAAAAAAGCAAAATTAAATTCATTTTTATTATTTAGAAGTCATAAATAATTTTAAAAACACGGAATTTATGCATAAAAGGCATTATTTTTTGAATAAAATGACAACAACCATAAGGGTTTACCATAAGTCGTATCCCTCGCCAAAAAAAATCGCCAAAATCCGTGCAACCGTCTACCGAAAATTCCGAATTTAATATTTGAGTATCAAAAGCATTAAGTTCAACAAACAGATAAACGTTCTAAAGTAACAAGTTTCGTTTTTAGAGATTTTTCATGAGGAATTTCCTTTTCTAATTCCTGCAAAATTGCATTACCGTATATACCCGGGTATAAGTCGAGATATTTTGGACAAAAAAAAGACTTCAAAGTGGCGGGGTCGACTTATACGGGGCCATAAAAAATTAAAAGAATCGGAAGTTAAAAATTTCTTTTAACTTTTAAAAAGGGAAAATGCAGATAGATTTTCCGTAATTGGCAAATCTTTTACAGAACAAATTCTAGGTTACTGTATGGCGAACGATCATTTTTTCCCAACTTTATCCAGAGTGGATTACTTCCGATTCGACCAACATTTACAAAGGCAGGCAACATTAAAAAGCCGAATATTACATTAATTGCTCAGTGGGTTAAAGATGCTTGAAATGAAATATCCTCTGAAATGATAAAATCATTTAAAAAATGTATTAGCAACGAACTAAACGGCACAGATGATAATGCTGCTTTTGAAAGTGAAAATGATGACGAAGGCTCTAGTAGTGATTGTAACGATCCAGAGTTCGAGACTGAAAATATGTATGATGACGAGCCAATGATGACAAAAGAGTTCTATGAAATGTTTGACGAATCTGACCATGAATCAGACGTTGAAGGATTTTGATTTTGTTTATTTACCAAGGTATTTTTTATCGTATATTTACTTTTTTTTTCAGATGATTTTGAATAAATGTAGTACTTAAAAAAAAATTTCGAAGTTTCTCATCGATTTCGGAATGGGGGGGTCGACTTATACGCGGGTTTCTTATTTTCTCTCGAATTTTTTAATGTCGAAGTGTGGGGCGGGGTCGACTTATCGCGGTATATACGGTAATTGTTCTCGTAAAAACGCTCTGAGGTTTTCGTTTCTCATTAAGTCCATTTCAATAAAAATAAATTCAATCAAAGTCAAATAATTAATTCGATAAAACCAATAAATTACTTTGACTTGTTTTACCGATCACTTCCGTTGTCTCCAAAATTGTTCGGTTTTGCAAGAACGAACCTTTCTCCTTTCTCCTAATAAACTTAAAATAAAATAACTTTACATATAAAATTCCAAAGCGTCATATTTATTACCAAAATCCTTAAAACTACAACAAACTACAACAAAAATCAGATTTTTGCCACTCTTACAGTGACAAACTATGAAAAGAAAAATACCAACTGAGGCTGGGTTCTTACAATGGTAACCTTTTACTCCTCATTTTCAAAACAAGTTGCAGCCATTTCTTATCAGATTGATTCTTTCAATATTGGCATACAATTACATAGAATTTTTATCAGATAGTTCAATTTTATGCCCTAAGGCCATTCGCGGTCATTAAGTCAATTAGGATGTAATCACGCCGCTCACCCGAAGGTAAAAATATAGAAAAGGCAAAGTCAAGGGTTAAATTCATCCATTCTAATGAGAATGCACTAGCGAAACAGCACTGTGGTTTAACATAATATCTGAGTAAGCTATTCGTACGAATTGAAATAATTCTTGCAGTAAAACTTGTATTCCAAATTGAGATTTAACTTGAAATTAATGTAGATAATTACTGAGATAATTAGATTTTTGTAGCGTAGTTTACGTGAGATCAGATCGCTTGGGGTCACGTGATATGAACCCGTGAATCAGGATGTTGAACCATGAAAGCATAATAAATTCTTAAAAGCATAATTAATTCTTTTTACAAATTTATTGGTCTTTATTTATTGGCTTTTTACAAAATTTTAAACCTTATTAAAATGTTTATGGCCTTCAAAAAAATTCTTAGAACTAAAATTTGTTAACATTTTTTTATGTGCATACTGTGTGTTGTCGCCAGCTTGGCGAGATTTGCGTCGACGAAACGGAAAAGTACCGAAAACATTTTATCTCCAGCGCGTGAGACTGTGTATCGGAAATTCTAAAGATATGCTCAATTTAAAATTATTTTTCGGTATTGCCGTTGAACAGAATTTTACGGTTCAAGTGCGAAGAACATGATATTTAATAAATAAAAAGTAACACACAAAATGTTAATAAAACGCCCCTTTGGACATAAATTTAAAATCTGAAACCTTTCAGATTTTTTTAAAACTTTTTTATTCAAGTATTTTAATTTAAATGATATTTTAATGTACACCTTTCTTCGTCAGCTTGATACTGCCGACGAATTTAAGGTTACGCCACTGCTGTATGCTATAGGAAGATGTAAACGGGAATTGTGAAGTGAAGCACATTGCAATCCAGGTCAAAAGTATCTATATGTATGATTTTGATAGACCGTGGATGTGATGTTAATATTCCTGGGCCTGAAGGTCATACTGCTCTGTATGCTGCTGTTGAATTAAACCACGAAACTTTAGTTCGAAAACTCCTTATTTCTGGAAGTGACATCGAAAGAGTTAACATGCTCCTTTGTACTATGCGTGTTTAAATTTAAATCAGAGAATAGTCGATTTACTCATATTTTTCGGTGTTAATTTACAGGCCGAAGTTTGGGAAACTTATTTCGAAGGGTTGAGACGTATGAATGAATTAAATGATAAAAATAATCAGCTGTTAAATTATGTTAGTTATGAAAGTAAGCAGTGTCTTTCCTTAAAAGGCCTATGCAATATAACTATAAGAAAAATATTAGAAATATAGAAAAATAAGCCATTCAGCTCGGATTACCACCATGGAAATATGTAGCATAATTTTAATTTTAATAAAAAGTTTGTAAGGTTGCAGTTGATACGTTATTTATAATTATGATTAAATGTCTGAGGTATAAAATGTAATAAAAAATATATATATACGTGTCCATTTTTCTTTTTCACACAAGGAGCAGTTTCATTTAATTTATTGTTTAACATTGAAAACGTATTTATTATTCCTTTCCGGAAATACTGTTCTACGTTTATAATAATATGGGGAAGGATTGATGATAAACATAACTACAACTCATGAAATTAAACTAAGCTTTATTTATTTACATTAGAATGAAAAGAAAAGTAAAAAGAATAATCGTCAAAACATTTTGGACACGTCTGTCCTCACTATCGTTCACATCTCATCTCATCTGACCACACCCTAATCTAGATGGCGCTCTTACATAATCTTAGTTACAGTTACAGTTCCCACAATAACACAAACAAACAGCAATAATTAGACGTGTATAATCTAAGTTTAGAACAACAAACCTTTGCTCGAATGAAAATGTACATATAGATTTTCAAAATAATAAAAACACTATCAAACTCAATATTAGCTAGAACTACACTCTGAAAAATAAACGTTAATGGTACTGAAACACGTATCAGTGGAATTCGCCTGAATTAGTAGCACAAGTTTCGGAGCTTTAAACAGACATTTGCTAGAATCTCTAAAATACTGGCAGATTCTTATACTATAAAATAAATCATCTTCTTCCTTAGAATTATATTTGAATCTACCGCAATAGCAAAGCTACGGTCCAGTATTTTTTCTCTCTTTTTTAGACAGATAACGGTACCTCATAGTGAGGAGTTTATTGTGGGTGATTTTATGATTGCTCGCACTTCATTGTTCTTCAACATTGATTTGTTGAGGAATCTGCTGCACTGTGGCTTGTCTCTTTGCTGTTACTATCTGAGCTGCCGCACAAAAGCGTCACAGGTTTTATGCCGTGACAATTTATTTTGGCAATGACGGTTTTATTAAAATCCATATATTCACAGCAGATTATTAACATGGTGGCTTGTTAAAGGCTTGGTATCTGCATGAGTGTGCAGACTAAGTGTGCCATATGTCTAGCCCTGACAATCTGGCCGTGATCAAATGCACCAAGATTTCTAGTCATATCCATCAGAACTTCCAATGTCTTTGATGTATAAGTTTTGATGAGTTTCCGATCAAGTACCTTTTTACAATATTCCATTTGCTGCGGATGCATAATGCAGTGTTGCCAGAATGCCAACGGTTTTTCATTAAATTGCCCATTGTTATACTAGTAGTATATTATAGTACTGATATTTATAAATAACAGCAAATTTGCTGCACGGATGCTGCAATCCAAATTGCAGATATTTTATCGGTAACCTCTTTGCCACTGAAAGGTATAATAGCTCTATTGATTGCTCTAATAAACAATGTACTGTTACAAGTTGAAATGTGTATTAAAGTACTGCATGGTTAGAAATAATTCATCCACCTTTCAAACCACTATTTTATTTTATTTTTTTATGTCTGAACATGATGTTTATAAATTAAGTATTTTATATAGAAGTACACGAGAATACAGAAATATTTTAATGTTTACTTTACGGTATATAACAACACGTGAAGAGATGGAATTTGGCATTTTTATTTCAATACTTTGGCATAACTATTACTTAATGAATTTTTTTATTTTTGTATTAATTTATAAATTTTTAAAGGAATGTATTTATTTTTCTTTTTTGGGAAGGAGGGGCAGGGTAATGACACGTTATTTTAATTTTAGTTCCCCCCCCCTCCAAAAAATTGCTGAACATTAGTAGTTTGATTCAGGTTCGAGTCTTTGTGAATGGGATGGTTGTATGAGAATTTTCGTGGTTATTCCTATCTATTACATACACAAGAGCTAATTTCTCTTAAAAAGTCCTCCATAAAATCATCCCTTCTTTTAGGTAGATAGTAACCAAGTGATCCCATAATGATCAGTTTGCACAGTAAAATCCTGTCCGTCCAGATAATAATGAAATTTCAATAAATCTTTAATGCTTATATATATGAGCCTTTAAGAAAATTATGCTTTAGTTTTCTTCTTTCTCAAGAGATAGCTTAACTCCTGTCCAGCCCTTCTTATCTTATCTTATCTAATCATTATATCTTATCTCGTTCATTTGCGCTTTGGCAGCTGAGGCTGATGGTTCCGTGAAACCATGGAAACTGGTCCTGTGAAAATTAGTATATATAACACCGATTTTTGTTGTTTGACTTCAAAATTAATATGAAATTTCATTTTTACGTTATTTGGTGCATCAAATTAAAATTGCCATTGTACTGATTGTAGTAAGATTTTTACTTATGTATTCATAAATGAGCCGTACTGATTTCAGTACAATTGTACCGACAAGAATAATACTGATAGCAATCAAAAATCAGTTACGAGTTACTTACTTTTGTATCATTCATCATGAAGCGCTTTGTGGGTAGACATTTCCAAAAGAAATTTGCGAATTTACGGAATTGATTATTAAGGTATATTATTAATTATCGCTAAAGCTTTTAATCATCACCAGAACCAATTAAGAATTTTTAGTTGAAATGGAGATTGAGTGTGCAGATTTTCTGCTGCCTAACAAAGTACGTTGGTTATCAAGACGAAACCTTTTTGAAACGTTTTGCGACCTTATTAAAAGGAATTAAAGCATTTCTCCTTGAAAAGTGTGTTTATTATTCAGAACTAATAAGCGATCAGTGGGTCCAAAACTTTATTTCATGGTAGACGTTAAGTCTCATCTAAATCAGAGTACTCAAAGACTACAGGGAAAAAAAAAGCACAATTTTTTCGATATTAGAAGAAGTTTTTCATTCGAAAACAAATTATCTCTTTCTGCTTAAAATTTTGAAAAAGAAACTTTGCTTCACTTTCCAACCCTGTTGAAACATCGCTAAGAAAATAATTCCGATATCGGTGTTTGATATTTCAAAACAACAGTTTAACTACAGTTTTAAATATGACAGAAACTTTTCTCAGCAGATTTCAGAATTTTAAAAATCGCAAAGCGAAGTTAGTCTTTGTTAAAAAAAACCTTTTAATACTTCTGTAACAGAATTAAGTTTTTTCCCCTTTACTATTGACACTGGCAACTTTGAAATCCAATTTCTGGATTTAGAAAACAGAGAATTATGGAGCTCGAAATTTGAACGTCTTAGCTATCTGGAAAAACTAGCATTTGCTGTTCTTTCCTTATTCGCGTCTATATTATCCATGCAAATAATCATTTTCAAGCATGAAGCATATCAAGAGTTATGAGGTATATCTCCCGCCTTCCTAGCGTGCCTTCGCGGTGTAGTGGTTCTGCACGCTGGGCCGGTATTCCAGAGGTCCGTGGTTTGATTCCCGGCGAAGGCGGTTGCTATTTTTCCTCTTGCCTGCTTCCAAAAAAACCTTAATGTCTCTATAGAGGAAAATGAGAAGTCGTCTTATTGACGATAACTTACAATCATGCTTAAAATTAAAAAAAAAAAAAAAAAAACAACATACAAACCTTACACAAACTTTCCATAGAGATGCAAGAACGAATTTTTGAGTAACAAACTCAACTATTTAAAAGCGAGCAATGGCAACGTTGTGCAGAAAAAACATTTATATCTCCAGCGCGTGAGTCTCTGTATCGGAAATTCTAAAGATATGCTCGTTTTAAAACTATTTTGCGATATTGCTGTTGCACTGGATCTTATGGTTTAAGTGCGAGGAACATGATATTGAATAAAGAAAGGTAACACACAAAATGTTAAAAAAACGCGCCCTTTGGACGTAATTTAAAATCTGAAACATTTTCAGATTTTTTTTTTTATTTATTTATTTTTTTTTTTTTTTTTTTTAAATTATTAGGGAAGTCAAGATTTTATTGATGATTCCACTATTTTAGTACACACTTTTATTTAAAAATGGAGTTTTACAAAAAGTAGTTTAGGGAAGAAGACATTATGTCCAAAATTCACACTGCTTAAAGGACGAATTACATTTATAGGCTTCCGAGAAAGCCTTTGAATTGTAGACAACTGCATTCAACCTGAAAAGAAAAAGAAAAAAAACAATTCAAGTTTTTTTAAATGAGCAATTTATTTGATTTTTTATGAAAAATTCATTATTGGTATAATATCATCAGGACTTTATAAAGTATAGGTTTGATTTATTGATTAAGATACTACTAATTTATATCTATCAGTTTGTGCTACTGATTAAGATAAGATGCTCTATTTTATTTTATTTTTATGTTTTGCTAATGTTTCAGAGATTAGATTATAACAATTCATATTTTTCTTTTGTCCCATTATATTTCAAGAATGCTGCTTGCAAAACTTCAGAATATTAAACTTAGCATTAATACTTTATTTCCATGCTTTATTTTCATACTTTATTTTCATGCTTTCATATTTCTCCAATTATATGAATGTGAAATGACCTACATTAAGAAGACATGGTTGCAAATATACGCCAATATTTAGCATACTGAAGGCATTGAAATCCATAATAACGAGAGCTAAAATGTGTCACGTCCTAATCAAACAAGTGTGGGAGGTAGAGAACTACCTAACTTAGAAATCAGTCCTTTTTTAAAGCATAAGAGAAACCTAAAATTAGTAACACAACAACCCTTGAGTTTGGCAAAGATTTAAGTCAAGATATCAATCGATTTCGAGGACTGACAGGTAGAGGTCCCTCTTCATCAGAAGCAAAGAAGTCTGCTAAACTGGAAAAAAGTGAGCGTAACGGTCGCATTTACACTCCACAGTAAAGTGAAAGGAGAAAGCAGTGCCACCTATCGGCAAAAATTAACGAAATTCAAATATTAAATTACAGAATTTTAAAAGCATTAGGAAGGATAGAATTGGACTTAGAGACATTAACTAAACAAGATAAATTTTTGTGAATCTGAAAAGCCTCAAGAAAATACAATTCAGCAATTGAAGAAGCTTTTTTGAAGACCAAAAGTCAAAATTATGATTGAATGTCCAACAATGATTAGCAATCGAAAATTCGAAGAAAAGAGAATTAACAAATCAGAACGGATACCAGCTACAATAAATATGTCAGCACATAATCAAGATATTTTTTGCAATTAGTTTTATTAGTTAGTACTACGTATAACAGCTGCAACAAAGAGCACGATCTATAAACCGCACGGATGATGTTAACCTGATGAAATTGCCTTACTACGTAAATACGAAATGCCATTGCAAAGAATTAAAGACATTCTTTCACTGTGCATTTCTGGGTATAGTTGTCACCATACTCTTTTCGTTAATGTGATCGGATTCGATTCGTGGCGAAAACATAATAAATTACTCGCAATTTATTGTTGCTCCAAAATTCTCAATTTTCATCTCTGAAGTGTTATTGAATTAAAAGCGATGGACGATAATTCTTCGTTAACCTTGAATTTTTAGAGTGTGTTTTTTTGTCTGATATTCACACTTTAATTAAGAATGGGAAATATAAGGAATTGAAAAATATTTCTCCTATATGCAAGGCTTACAATGGCAATCTGAAGGCACTAGTTAAATTCCTACCGAAAGCATAATCAGTTAAGAATTTTCTGTCCAAAATTCCTGATGTCTTTCATTTACATATAAGCAGTCGAGAATTCAGGACATATAGCAACTGTTCAAACAATAGCTAAATATGTAGCAAAATAATCAGGTTTATTGGCTTCACTGGCGGTTATGAGAATTGAGCTGCTTTGAAATCTCAGGATAAATCGTAGGCAAGCAGTATGACGGGCGAATACACTTGGCAGAAGAAAGAATGCTCAGTGCTGTTTTCCAGGATCAAAGTCCCAGCACGAACATCAGTCGAATAGCAGTTAGTGTGCCTTCGGGAAAACTTCTGTGTATCAAGCACCACTTACAAACAAAAACGTCTATAGCCTGCATATGAGGTTTTCAGAAAACTCTTGCAATTGTGGAAATTGTCGCCTAGCAGCCGAAATCATCTCACAAAATTCCAATGTGCATCGTAAAGCAATTCAAACTGAGTCGCTCTAATATTTTGTGACTGCGGTTAATAATTTGCACGATAATTACAGATTACAAATATTATTTATTATTTTTTTACTTTATATTGTACTAGCAGCTTCGCTGCCAGCCTTCGTCTGGCTTTTAAATGTACCGGAAAAATGGCTGAAGGGAACACCAAACTTTAAATTTAAAAACTGCGTAGAATTTTACTCTGCAGAATAACTTCATAAAAAAAAAGTTATTATGTATAACAAAATTACAATGAAATAAGCTATATCCCTTAATACAAATATTAATTATCATAATAAAAAAATTAACCAACTTTCCGTTGAAGAAAAAAAATCATGCAAAACTTTTCACTATCTTACACACAGTGAAATAAGCAAAAAATAACATGAAAGAAACTGGAAAAAAAAAAAAAAAAAAAAAAAAAAAAAAAAAAACTTCCGCGCAGAATTTTACTCGGCAGAAGAAATGTATCAAAAAAAAATCAATAAAAACATATTATATATATAAAAAATGACAATGAAATATACCAATCTCTTAAAAACAGTGGCATAAGAAATACGATGAAAAATTGTTGCCAAACCCATATTTCTAAAAGAATGAAACTATTCAAAATGATGCGATTTCATCAAAAATCTATCAACAACAATAAGAAAGGAAGATTGTTGCCAAAATAACATTTTTAAAGATGTGAGACGTGAGAAGTGTACTCGGAAGCTTCATTTAAAAAAATTTTTAAAAATACAAAATATCATCATTTTTCCAAAATTCTTTTTGTAAAAGCAGTCGCAAGGATGAAAGTTTAACGTGTCCAAAAATCAAAGAAAAATAAACTGTACATTTTTAAAAATGAACGTTTTTAGAAAAAAATCCTGTTGAAAAGGGGTTACGCTCATTTTGTTAAATAACTTCGTATTGAATCGATTTATTGAAACACGAAATTTATTTTATGTTCGTAAAAAGCTAAGTGTCTACGTTTCATGACGATGTGAAAATGGTGTGGAGTAAAATCTCGCTTTCCTATAGCCCATATCTCAAAATGTCCCATGTCTCAAAATAGCCCATGTCTCAAAATGACGCGATTTCGTCACAAAACATAAAATAAAAAAAAATTCGAATTCGAATTTCGAAAAAATCGCTTCGAGGTGCACTGGCTCTTGTCTAGATGCACCTACGTACCAAATTTCGTAGACGTGGTTCTATTAGCTTACGCGCTGCGCGAACGAAAGACACACACACACAGAGACAGACTCTTTCTTTTATTATATGTAGAGAATAGATCTATACAATTATCGGCAAAGAATAATTTACAGTCTTTATTGTTAATGTCAACTAATTTCGCACAGTAGTATCTGAAACAGTGTGACCGAGATATACATTTCTCAGCCTGTGTATTGTTCACTGATGAGATCACATTCAATAAGGATGGCATATTCAACCAGCTCAATGGGTAATTATGGGCTATAGAGAGCCACCACGGTGCGCGGCACCACGCGTCACAACATCACTTTAGCAGTAAATATGTGAGCAGGTTTGGTCGGCGACTACTTAGTCGGGACGTACTATCCCGCATGACCGCCGCCAATTATCGAATTTTTATGGAGCAGGTTTCTTCTGGCTTATTTGATGATGTTCCAGCAAATGTCAGGCGCAACATGTGGTTCCGACTTAATGAAAGCCTGCTCATTTTAGACTGGCTGTAGAAATTTGAACAAGTCAGTCGATGGATTGGGCATGGTGAACCAGTTCCCTAGTTTCCACGCTCACCTGGTTCATCATGCTTTGTTTTCTTCTGTGGAGAGTCCTCATAGCTATTATGTATGACCATCCTGTGGAGTCTGAAATAGATCTCGTGACAAGACGTGTCTGCGCTACTGCTACAATCAAAGAAACTCACGATGTGTTCGATCGTATCCTGTAATCAATGTTTTGTCGCGGTCAGGCATGCACTTCTGACAGTGCAAACTTTTAGCATCTGTTGTAACATCAGAGCTGTATTCATCTCATACGCCATTTGTACTCCTGATGTCCAATAAATTAATCACTTTCTTGTGTCCTTTCCGATCTTCTACCTCTGCTACTACTTACACCCGACGTTTCCGATCATGGGTAGCTATGCAATTCTCAATCCTTAAGGTGTGGTCCTACCTTTTCTAAAGTTTGTGGCTACATTTCTGAGACACTCTTTATATATGCATTAGTACGAATAAAAGTTATTTGAAAGTTCAAACTTCCCTATGAGATTCTGCTATGCTAAAGACACCTTTACCATGTTACACAGTATTAAAGATGATTTAAATAAAGTTCTTTCAACAAGGAATTACATTGATGGTGCTATTCAGTTCACTTTCGAAATTTAGACATCCAATTCTGTTCCGTTTGATATCTTCGTCACATGCAACATGTCCAACTTCAGTCAACTTCAGCTTATCGTAAACAATCATCTGTTTGCATTCCACCACACCGTCTTAACAGAAGCTAACTTCATTTTATTCCTACATTTTACAAGCATTTCAAGTTGGTTCTTCCAAATCAGCTCTTGATTAAGAGCTAAATTACTTAAAAGCAGTTGCTAGTGACAGAGATTTTCTTCGACCAAGCAGTTAAAATATTCTCGTGTCAACACATCCAAAAGCATCCTCTCATTTTCGGAGATTATAAGAATGTTTGTGTTGTGCTTATTTTAATGTCATATTTCTTTTCAAAATTTAACATAATAAGCATAATAACACATCCTAGATCAAGAATAATTTTAGTACTTTTCCCTTTTACCCTTTTCAGTTAAGTTACTTAATTTTATGCTTACCTGTCTTCTGTTGGAACGTACAGATTCTTATTTAACTGACTTTCTTCTCCACACATAGTCTGCAAAAGAAACGACTATTATTGATAAATTATGATTTGCATGCAAATTAATGAAAATATGCTTCGCATTTTGCTTAAATTTCAGATATCTGTTTTTAAAAACATCTGGAAGGAGTTTTTTTAAAGCTTTAAAACTGAACTATAATTAAAAGTTACTATTTACTTGCCAATTTAGTATTATTTATGTGTTTTTTATATATTCCATATAGTTTATTTTTGATTTAAATGCATAATTCGTGACGGGGAAGTTTTCAAATAGGCAAAGGGAAATTTACATTTAATTATTATTTTGATTCTTAATCAATTTGTTTTCTAAATTTCTCAAAATTCCTTTTGCTTGCATTTTTTAGAAATTCACTACATTTGATTTACTTTTGGTTTTGAATATTACCATACTCATACCTATATGCATGACGAAACACAAATTAAGTAATTGAAGAGTTAGGTTTGGGGGCAACTTCCCTTTGATAAGATCTGTCTCCTGCCTGCTCAACAATTATTCACTAATGCAAATTAATTTAGTCTTAAAAAGTTGTTTGAAAAATTTTTTGGGATTAATTTTTTGGAATATTATTCTTGGTTTTAGATACTTACACTTAATTTACATATACTCTCAGAATTTAAATGATATTGTAAATTAGTTCGAAGCAACAATTAATAATTTATTTATATACAATTAAAATTTCAGAATTTAAAATTTAAATTTTAATTAACTTTAAATTTGCTTTATACGAATAGAGAATGTTTGTTAAAATTATATATATATATATATATATGTGTGTGTGTGTGTGTGTGTGTGTGTAATAATAAAATTCCATAGTCAAGAATACATTTAAAATTCTAACTGTATGTTCTTTTCATTTTTTAATGGCAACGTTCTCTTTTTGAACGTACGTGGAATTAAATCCACAGCCCCGTAGTCAAGTTGTTTTTCCCGCCTTTTCTACGCGTACATTTATAGAATATTCTGGAAATATTTAAAGCGAACTGGATTGGCTGACGATGCTAACGTCATTTCTTGGAAGCTCCGCCTTTCCAGAGGCTATAAAAGGACTCGCAAAGGAATATCGGGGTCTTTTCTTTAATGTAACGATGCAGTAAACTTCATACAAAAAGTTATTAGTAATTCTTTTTTATTTACTCCAGAAATATGATTTTTGTAACTGCTATTTCTCCTGACCAATAATAAATTGATCCTGTTTTTTAAACTTATCGTCTGATAATTTAAGCTACGACTACATCTATATTTATTCACCAATCTATTTATTCCGGACAAAAGCTGATACATATATATATACACTACATTAACATAAAGAAATATTATAAAGAAAAATATAAAATCCTTTCAAGAATTTTCGCGCATTATGCCGCTGAAAATTAATCAATAAATACATAAAGAAAGAAATATAAAACCAACTTTTCACAACGACCAAAAATTTAAATTCAAATAAATAAATTTCGATAAACCTATTAATAAAGAATTAGAATTCTGAAAATGTTAAAAGAAAATTAAAATAAACCAACTCAAAAAAGACCGAAAATAAATGATGTAAAAGAAAACAGAAGTGGTATCCAATAAACTCCGACATAACGTCTTCAGGAGGAGGATACGTCGAAATTAATTACAATTCCTCTTCCATATAAAAATTCCTGTTTTTCAATATCCAGAATTAGCTGATGAACCACTCCAATACATTTTTTTTAATCTTAACAGTTCACTTGAGAACTCTGTCCTCATCGAAGCAAGGAAAAATGGCAAAAATACAAAGTAAAATCATTAATAATAATTTTCTCTATTAAAAATGAACCATTTCCAAAACTGAAAACTTACCTTTTATCCGTATAATAAAAATACAAATGCCTTCAGTAAACAAATTTTAAATTGAAAATAAACTGCATTGTAGCAAAAATTGTTTTTACACATAACACTGAGAGAACCTTTCAAACGTCAATTTGAAACAATGAAATTAACCTTTAGAAACTGAGACACCTAGGGTTGCCAGTTTGGCCTCTTTGGCGAAACTAAAAACCGTAGTCGGGAAGGCCATCTCCCAAAAGGTTAATTTAATGATACATAGCAAAGAATTTTGCATTTAACGAAAAACTTTTTTAAATACATACTGATACTTTGAAACGTCTAAACAGAGGAGAAAGAATTATTCCTTAGTTAAAAAAATATCAAAAACTTCTAAAGTAAAACCCAAATTTAAATTAAAAGTTAAATTGCAATTTAAGGGGAGTTGGTACCTCAAAATCAATGAAATTACCGATTTTTGAATTTTTTGCTGGAAAAGTACCTTAATACCCTTACTACACTGAACAGAAATTTTGAAATGATCTGACGATAATAAATGCCATAAAATGGTTTTTAAAAATTTTGACACCCCTTTAAATGCCACAAACCCTCAGTGTTTATTTTTTTCTTTTTTTTTACTTTTTAATTTTTTCAGTAACTTACTAAAAATCAGTGCAAATAAAAAGGAGTGTGATGAAATATGACTCCAACTATCAAAAAACTCTGTTTATGTGTATATACTAATTTATTTAAATACAAATTAAAGTTGGAAAAAAATTTTTACTGGCAGGTTTATATATTTATACTGAACTCAGAAAATCATTTTATGTGTGTTACCAGTCAACTTTGCTATGCTTATTCAGAAACTGAAATTATCTGTGATTAGACACGAATAGAAAGAGGTGATGTAATGAAAGTGATCAAATTTCTGACTGTAGCATTATTGATTTAGTGCTGGAATAAAACATTAAACTTTTTAATTAATTAAAATGCACATAAATTATTTAAAATGCAATTTATATACGAGAAAAATGGCTAAAATAAGAGAAGAAATCACATAAGCTGGAGTGGTTTTAAATAAAATATTTTATGCCTGTTAAAATTTCAAATTTTGATTTTTAAAAAAGTGAATAAAACGGCAAATTAATATTAATAATGATTATAAGCGTTTTAAAATATATTATAATTAATTCATGCACTAAAATTGTTTTGAGCATATTTTAAAAAACAAAAACAGGTAAAGAAAAATTCTACTTGCATTTTGTGATTTTTTTGCAATATTTCTAGCCAGATAAGATTTTATACTAAAGCTTGTAATTTATGTTCATATTAATCAATTGAGCAGTACTAAGTGGATGGCTAATTCTGAAGATCAAATGTATAAATGTACAAATAATTCCTGTCACTACGTCTATTTTTCCTCTTAAAATTTGGCACAATACTTTTAATTCTATTTTTAATAGATTTTAAACATTTGCTGGCCAATTCTATTTCTGTTGTTAACTTATGGGCTATTTCGTTTCTGGCAGCTTAAACGCCCTCTAGCTTGAAGAATTACGACTTTAATTAACAAATTAATATTTTTTTCATTATTTCTGCTTACTTTAGAGGCCGTTTTAGGTAATATTTTGTTGAATTAACCATTTTCTCTTTTACCCAGTCCAATTTTCTTTAGACTACTTGACAAGACGCCATTTTGAACTTTTTCCGCATTTTTCAACACATTTTAACCCCCTTTTCAATGACTCAGGTTTCTTACCAACGGTCAGTCACTTTACATTGGCTATTTCCCAGTGACATTGTTTCCCCCACCTTTCTATGTCATCCGGCAAGTTGGAGAGCAGTGGGAAAGCTCGAGGTTTGCCCACCCTTTTCGAGTTTCCTCGTTGGCCAAGGAAGACGACAATGGTACAGATCTGTTTTAATAATTTTTTTCTCTAAATGATTATGTCTAGGTCTTGGCAAGACCCTTGCTACAATTCGTCTGTTATTTTATCTTTTCCGTTTTGATTTAAATATATTTACGGTACTTTTACAAAGTATTAACTCTTTAAGCTCGCTGGTCCCCCCATAAGATCTTGTATATTTTGACTAATAGCATATCGCTATTTATTATTATTTTTTTTTCTGTACATCGGCATTTCCTTTCCATTATTTAATTATTACCTTTTTACACCTTAATGTGTTATGTAAGCGGACTCGTCGGGAAATTGGAACAGAGAATTGTGACTAAAGATTTTGACATAGATATTTCATTGAAAAATGTGTCACGTACAGTTTCAATTGTCTGTTTCGGCGAAACGCGTGATGGAATTGGCTTAGTTGGAAATAACGTTCGCAAATAACGAGAGGGTTAAACCTCTGGCCTTAAAGGCAACCAGCAACAGAGTGAAAACTCGTAAAACTACAGTGGCAAGCGGCTTGCTTTCTATAACTCCTTCCTCTCTCTCTCTTGGCAAAAAGCCACAACTTAAGTACTTGACGTTAGCAAGACAATTTGCATAAACAAGTTAAAGCATTTAATTCTGGCCGGAAGTAGAAAATAAGAAGTGATAGTACAGTTTTAAAATAAAATAAACGTTAGTAAAACTTAAAATCCTTACAAGGTAAGTTAAATTGTAGTTCTAGGTAAGTTAAATTAAAACCTGCTATTTACTAGCCTTATTATTATTATTATTATTATTATTATTATTATTATTATTATTATTATTATATTTCGATAGATTGTATATACTTTATTTTAGGTTTACATGCATAATTCGTATAGGGGAATTTTTCAGTAGGCAAGAGTTTTTAAATTACTTTTTGGTTTTCTAAACAATTTGGTCTAAAAAATAAAGAATTTGCTTTATCCGAGGTTCAGATTTGGTGCGTGAAGGTGCAGTTGCCCCTCGCTCCCTTTTTTTGACTTCGCTAATTTTTTTTTTTGCGTTATAGTCTATGTGTTATATGTTTGATCAGATGGCCTGGCTCAGTAAAAGTAGGCGGCCAGTGTAAATCTAATTCAAAATCCTATTACGACCACGTGCAGTGCTGATAACGACCACGTGTTTCTGAGACTCTTTTGCCAATGCTTTATTTTTCTTCTTTTTACCCTTTCTAGTAATTTCGTTCTCCTGATGAGGAGGGAGCTTTAGCTGCCCTCGAAATCGATTGAGTGTTTTAATATATGTACGCTACATACAAGGTTGTTATTGCGATTTTG